GGGCTTCTAAGAAAGCAGGTCTCTTCTCAGAAGCCTTCCCGTCTTCCGAGGGGCCTTCTCGAAAGCTCCCAGGGCCTCTAAGAAGGCGCCAGGACGCCTCGCTTCGAAGAAGCCCCCCCCTCCCCCCCCCGTGGAAATCAAAGAAGGCCACCCCCGTCGCGCCATCCCCTAGCGCGCGCCGTCCATCTCTCGTTTTGACCCCTCGGACCAGGCGCTGCGCCCAAGCATTACCGCGGCAGGTTTTGTTCGCGCACGTTTCGGCGTCAAGGGGGGGGGTTGTTCCCCAACCCCGGGGTTGTCGGGGGGGGAACGTTGGCCCTTGTGCGGTGTCGAATGGCCCCCAGGCCATCGCAAACGTGGATCAATGGGGGCGTGAATAAGTAACGGATCCTGTTTCCAGTTTCCAGGGGAAGTCACGAATTTCCGCCGCCGAGCGAGGCGGCACCGGTCGCATTTTGGGGGAGGGCACCTCCCCCGATCCATGGACTTGGCGACCGCGCGCCAAGTCCATGGATCGCTGGTCTGTGTCTGCGCGCCCCCGAGGGCCACGGGCCCATGTTTCGAGCCTTGGCATCGCTCGGACGTGTGCTTTTTTCCTTCGGCGAGGACCATCGAGGAGCATCCTCCTTGATCACTTGGCGAAAAAAGCCACGCACGGAACCCCAAAAAACACAAGGAATAGACGTCCGAGCGATGGCAGGGCGCAGGAAGCGCACACCCTGCTCGAGGGTCGACCACGCCCTGCTCGAGGGTCGAGGGCGGGGTGGAGCGGTCCAGGGGCCCCTGTTATGCGCACACCGAGCGAGCAATGTTTCTACAGTGCCGTTTTTAATACATGCTCCGCGTGCGGATCATGTATTAAATTATCCCAGTGCGACCCTACCTAGGAGTTGGAGCCCCTAGGAAAGCAGCATTAGTAATAACAGTAAAGCTAAGCTGAAGCTAAGCTAAAGCTAAAGCTAAGCTGAAGCTAAGCTAAAGCTAAGCTAAAGCCAAGCTAAAACTAAGCTAAAGCTAAGCTGAAGCTAAGACAAAGCTAAGCTAAAGCTAAGCTAACGCTAAGATAAAGCTAAGCTAAAGCTAAGCTGAAACTAAGCTAAAGCTAAGCTAAAGCCAAGCTGAAGCTAAGCTAAGCTAAAGCTAAGCTGAAGCTAAGCTAGAGCTAAGCTAAAGCTAAGCTAAAGCTAAGCCACAGCTAAGCTAAAGCTAAGCTAACGTTAAACTAAAACTAAGTTAAAGCTAAGCTAAAGCTGAGCAGCAGCTAAGCTAAAGCTAAGCTACATCTAAAGTAAAGCTAAGTTTAAACTAAGCTAAATATAAGCTAAAGCTCAGGTAAAGCTAAGCTAAAGCTAAGCTACAGCTAAGTTCAAGCTAAGCTAAAGCTAGCTAAAGCTAGCTAAAGCTAAGCTCAAGCTAAGCTAAACGCTCAGCGAACAGCTAAGCGAAACGCTCAGCGAAACGCTAAGCTAAAACTAAGCTAAAGCTAATCTAAAGCTAAGCTAAAGCTAAATCTAAAGCTAAAGCTAAAGCTAAAGCTCCCAGGGGACTGGGGGAAACCGCTCCCAGGGGACTGGGGGAACCGCCCGGGGCGCTTTCCACTGCCCGGCCCCTTTAAGCTAAGAGAGTAAGAACCCTTCTAGGCAGAGCCTAGGTAGGGAACTTGCAGGGATTCAGCTTTAAAAACAACGATGAGTTCATGCATACATTCATTCATACATGAGTCATGTATTAAAATTCATGAAACAATCCCATGTCTTAAAAACTGCCCTGTAGCGTCGGCGGCGAGGCAGGGCAGGTCCTGCGCCAGCGGGAAAGCCCAGACGGGGGTGCCGTGGGGGCAACATGTGCCACCGTTCATTCGGCATCGCTCGGACGTGTGCTTTTTTCCCCTCGGCGAGGGCCATCGAGGAGCATCCTTGATCATTTGGCGACTGTGCCACCATTCACTCGGCACCGCTCGGACGTGTTTTTTGTTTGTTTCCCTTCGGCGAGGACCATCGAGGAGCAGCCTTGATCATGTGGCGAAAAAAAACACACAGACACAGACACACACACACACACACACGAACCGCCCGTAGGGTTCACGCGTGTCAAGTGCACACGCACCATACTTTAATGTCCCGCCCGCCCGACCCGACCCGCCCGTTAGGGCCCGCCCGACCCGACCCGCCCGTTAGGGTCCGCCCGCCCGACCCGACCCGACCCGCCCGTTAGGGTTCACGCGTGTCAAGTGCATACAAAATAACACAGGGAATAGCCGTCCGAGCGATGGCAGGCTCAGGAGGGAGAGCAGGAGGAGGACACGGCCGAGCAAAGAGGGGCGGAGGGTGGCGGGCCGCTCCGAGAGGGGGGGCGGGCCGCGCCCCGAGCGTGGCAGCAGCGGGCACGGCAAGCGAGGAGGGGGGGCTTCGACAAGGGCTCCCGCGAGGGCGCGAAGTTATTCGCGCTTCGCGGTCCTCGTTCCTTCTCCCCCTCCTCCTCGTCCTCCTTTTCTCCCTTTGGGGGGGCGGCGCGAGAGCGCGAAGTTATTCGCGCTTCGCGCTTCGCGGAGCGCGAAGCGCGAAGTTGGGAGCCCTTGCTGCAGGTCGGGACGCACACCGGGCGAGGCCCGCGGGTCCGCGTCGCAGCGTCCGCCCCGCGAACCAGTTTTCGCCCTCGGCGGCTGGGCAGGGCAGCTGCGCTGGCGAGGAGCTGCCTAGACGGGGGTGCCGCTGTAGCGAGCTGGCCAACGAAGAAAACAAGCGAGGATGGGCTCGACGGGTCGAGACTTCTGAGCCCCGCTCGCCCGTGCCGGGGCACCGGCACCCGGAAGCTCTTCGTCGCCACTGCCTGGGTCCGCCGCGAGATCGGGGTCGGAGCGCACACAGGGAGAGGCCCGTGGGCTCATGTTTCCTCGTCAGAGAACCAATATTGAGGGTTTGTTGGATCCGAGTGTCTCTCGGGGCCCTTCCTGGGCACCCCGGGCAATGGGTAACCATGTACTTCGAAGCTCCTCGCGAAGGGGCAGCGAAAGCGATCTATGTTTCTGGGGCGTTTGGGGGAGAGGGCGGGTACTGCACGTGGGTTAAGAGCACACCTAAGCAGCACAGTCGTCGTTAAGGGGCAAACCTTAGATCCGAGTTTCTTGCGACTGGGGGTCGTAAGGATTGCTATTGACCAGATCGCGCTGGCCGAGCGTACTGTGATCTGGCCCTGGAAAGAACGCTGCCCCCCGAGCGACCTCCAGCCTCTCGGGGCCCCCTTCCAGGGCCCCAGGGCGACGAGGAGCTGCACAGCTGGGATGAAGAGCTGCTCCGTGGGGTTCTCATGTTCCAGCCTTCTCTAGCCTTGACCACCAGAAAAGAATTTCGAGCACCAGACAAAATACCGAAACTCGAGGGTTTTCACGTGTCGGGCCCTGGGAGACACTCGTCCGACACCGTCTCGACGCTCTTGTCGACACTCCTTCGACACTTTGCCGGGTGCTCGAACTTATTTATCGCTTCGCTCATTCCGCCGGCCCTGGAGCGCTGTTTTGGGCCTCTTGGGGCCGTCTTGGAGGCCTCTTGGGGGCTTCTTGGGAGCGTCTTGGGGCTCCTTGGCGGCGTCTTGGGCTCCCCTGGGGCCTCTTAGGGGGCTCTTGGGGGTCCCTTGGGGCGGGAGGGGGGGTGCTCGAACTTACTTCTGGGATGTGGTCCTGAGGTGCGATGGGAGCAACGTAACCCTGGGGGAGTCCCCGCGGTCCCGGGCCCAGTTCCCTCAGCAGCTCACCGGGTCACGGCCCTTATCCTCGACCCCCCGGTCTCTCGTGGGGGGAGGGGAGCCGCAAATCAGAGGAGGAAAAGGGTACTCCAGATTTCGTAAGAAAGGGGAGGGGGTCACAACCCTCTCAGACGAGAAGTTTTCGACCCCCCCAGACCATCAACGAAAGAGCGGCCCTTTGCCCAGACCCCCCCCGAACCCTCAAGACAGCTCAAATCAGACCCCCCCCAATGTGACCCCCACCACTTTATTGTGGAATCCGGAGTACCCGTACTGCAACCCTCCCTTGGTTTTCGCCGCAGTTCTGGTCGGAACGCACCCCAGGGGAGGTCACGGCCCTTATCCTCGACCCCCCGGTCTCTCGTGGGGGGAGGGAAGCTGCAAATCAGAGGAGGAAAAGGGTACTCCAGATTTCGTAAGAAAGGGGAGGGGGTCACAACCCCCTCAGACGAGAAGTTTTCGACCCCCCCAGACCATCAACGAAAGAGCGGCGCTTTGCCCAGACCCCCCCCCGAACCCTCAAGACAGCTCAAATCAGACCCCCCCCAATGTGACCCCCACCACTTTATTGTGGAATCCGGAGTACCCGTACTGCAACCCTCCCTTGGTTTTCGCCGCAGTTCTGGTCGGAACGCACCCCAGGGGAGGTCACGGCCCTTATCCTCGACCCCCCGGTCTCTCGTGGGGGGAGGGAAGCTGCAAATCAGAGGAGGAAAAGGGTACTCCAGATTTCGTAAGAAAGGGGAGGGGGTCACAACCCCCTCAGACGAGAAGTTTTCGACCCCCCCAGACCATCAACGAAAGAGCGGCGCTTTGCCCAGACCCCCCCCCGAACCCTCAAGACAGCTCAAATCAGACCCCCCCCAATGTGACCCCCACCACTTTATTGTGGAATCCGGAGTACCCGTACTGCAACCCTCCCTTGGTTTTCGCCGCAGTTCTGGTCGGAACGCACCCCAGGGGAGGTCACGGCCCTTATCCTCGACCCCCCGGTCTCTCGTGGGGGGAGGGAAGCTGCAAATCAGAGGAGGAAAAGGGTATTCCAGATTTCGTAAGAAAGGGGAGGGGGTCACAACCCTCTCAGACGAGAAATCGGTACCTTTTGGCTTCCCCAGTAAAGATCCATCTCGATCTTCCCCCTCCCCCCTCCAAGGAACAGGGGAAGCGATCCGAGCAGGAGGGCGCAGGAATCAGGAAGGAGGTGGGTCTGTGCGACTGCTCGGCTCCTACCCTCCATGCCGTCCCCATCCGCCTAGCAGGTGGTCACCGAGGCGAAGCCCAAGACTGGCGTGTACGACGTCCTGTACCCCGTGTGCCTTCCAGACGAGGGTGGGCCAGGGGCCGCTGTTTTTGCTCAGGGAAGAGGAGGAGGAGGAGGAGGAGGAGGAGGAGGAGGAGGAGGAGGAGGAGGGAGGAGGAGGAGGAGGAGGAGGAGGAGGAGGAGGAGGAGGAGGGGGGGAGACGAGGCCCGCGCGCGCAGCGACGGAGTGTGTCGGGGACCTGCTGACCGGGGTCGATCCAAACCCGGGTCAGCCAGGCCTTGCATCAGAGCGTGAATTACCTACCTCGCTTTCGCTTCCAGGCAAGACCAAGTCATACCACGCGCCTCCTCATCGAGCGGCCTGACCAGTACAGGCCGCAGTTTGGCATCGCTTGGTTTTTTTTGGAAGCGAGGGTGGTCAAAAGCGAGGTAGGTTTGTTTGCCCCCTATTGCAGGGTCCTGCAAAATCCTGCAGGATCCTGCCGCATCACCCAGGCCCGGGTCGCCGCGACTTTGGCCCTGGAAGGTCCAGCGCTCTGACTGACCCCCGCCTGCGTGGACCCCCGCCTCTCGAGCCCCACACGGGCAGGTGCCGCGCTCGGCTCTGGGGCGGGACACTTGGCATCGCTCGGACGTGTTTTTTTATTTACTTTACTTCGGCGAGGACCATCGAGGAGCATCCTTGATCATGTGGCGAAAAAGCCACGCACGAGACCAACAAAAAACACAGGGAATAGACGTCCGAGCGATGGCAGGGACAGGGTGGCGCAGTGGGGCCACCTCCGCCGCCCGAGCTCTCGAGAAGAGAGAGGGGGAGGCCGCGAGGGGCGGGGCGGCCCAGAGCAGGAGGTTCCGACCAGGCGCTGCCGCGCGCACTCCCCCCTCGCGAGCCGCTCTGGGGGGAGGGGGCTCTCCTCACGGCGCCAGGTGCGCGCGGCTGGCTGCCATCAGGGGGGGGGGGAGGAGGAGGAGGGGGAGGGGGAGGAGGAGGAGGAGGAGGAGGATGAGGAGGAGGAGGGGAGGGGGAGGAGGAGGAGGAGGAGGAGGAGGAGGAGGAGGAGGGGAGGAGGAGGAGGAGGAGCGGGTCCTGAGGTTTTTCGCCGTCTTCGGGGCCCTCGGGGCCCTCCACGGGCCCCGGGCCTGTCGGCAAGCGATTCAGGATGAAGATCTCGTCCTGGGGTAAGGCCCCAGGGTCCAGGACCCGTTTTCCTCAGGACCCGTGGGTCCACGATGGGCCTGGCCAGGGAGCAGTGGAAATGTCTAGACTTCGTCGCCCTACGGGAAAAATAATGTCCTCCCCCGCTGAGCCCGAAGGAGGCTCGAACATGAGCTTCTCAGGGTCAGTCCTGGGCTTTAGAGTGCGGCTGGTCCCGACGCCAGCAACATTCGGAGCGGGCGCTACCAGGGCTGGGACGTTGAACGAACGCATTATCCCTCTTCTTAGTATGATCTTTCTTTTTGGTACGAATTTTATTAGTATTACTCCTCCTCTTCCTCCTCCTCCTCCTCCTTCTCCTCCTCCTCTTCCTCCTCCCGCTCCCCCTCCTCCTCCTCCTCCTCCTCCTCCTCCTCCTCCTCCTCCTCCTCCTCCTCCTCCTCCTCCCCGAAGCAGCGCAGAAGTCGACCGAACTCTCGAACGCACGGTCTCCCCGCCCTGTGGACACTGTAGGAGAGGGGCCCCCGGGGACTGCGAGTCGTCTTCCCGACAGCCACTGGCCCCTCCAGAGTCGATCGTCTGGCAAGGGCGCCCTCGAGGGCGCGAAGTTCTTCGCGCCTCGGCTCCGACTCCTCCTCCTCGTCCTCCCCTTCTCGCCCCGGGGGCGCGAAGCGCGAAGTTGTGGGCGCCCTTGTCTGGCGAGCTGCCACGAGAACGGAGGTCACCCCGCGGGCGCAGGCGCCTGCGGGCATGCCCTGGCGGGCACCTCGGTGGCTCCACGGGGCCGCGCGCGTGTGCTCCCAGGGACCTGCGGTGGAGCGCCCGGCCAGGCGCTGCACCGGCGCGCTGCCTCCGTCGCTCGGCGCCGTGCTCCGGAACCGCCGAGCTCCCCGCCCGAGAGGCCTCTCGGGCCCTGCAGCAGTTCCAGATCGAGACTGAGTGTCGCGAAGACGGCGCTCAGAATCGAATCAGAAAAAAACGCCACAAACATAGATTTGCGGCGCGCCGCGCGGATTTCTTGGATCCGCGCCTGGGCCTCCCCAGCGGACCTTCGGCGCCGCCCCTGGCGCGCTCCGCGCGCCAGGGAGGAGGGTCCGGCGCGGATCCAAGAAGTCCGCCCGGAGCGCCAAAAGTTTATGTTTATAGCGTTGGTATTCTTCTTTTTCTTCTTCTTCTTCCTCCAAAGACGACGCTCAGAAGTCTCCTGGTAGCACGGCTGGTTTTGAGTAGACTTTGGGAGTTGCCTTGCCTTGACTGTTGATCCTGCTCCTGCTCCTGCCGCACCTGCCCGCCTTGGCCCTCCTTGATCGTCACTCACTCTTGAGATCGGAGGATCACTAGAGGGGGCCACCACTGAAAAGAAACCACAGCTGGGATCAGCCCTTGCAGCCCCCAGCAGTGGTCCATCTGGGGATCAGTGACGGTATCTTGGAGCCATTTTGAGGCTCCCTTGGCCGTCGCTGGGGGGCCTCTGGAGCTCTGGGGGATGAATGGCCGTCGCCGTGGTCGTCATGGTCGTCGTGGCCGTCGCCGTGATCGCCGTGGTCGTCGCGTATGGGCCGTCGTGGCCGTGGCCGTCGTGGTGGTCGTCGTGGTGGCCGCCGTGGCCGCGACGTGTGGGGGGCCCTCTTGGAGCTCTGGGGAAGGTCTTTGGGGAAGGTCTTTTTGGAGCATTCGGGCACTCTTGGGGCCGCCCTGGAGACGTGTGACCACGAAGAGATGGATGTTTGTTTCACGACTTAGCGCTCATGCTGTTCCTTTGGTTGCGGCAGATGACGAGGAGGATGGGGCGCAGGATGGGAGAGATGATGAGATGATGGCGATGATGATGGTGAGCATGGTGAGGGTGATAAGGGTGATAGTGATGCTGTTGATGAGGACGATGGTACTTGTCATGGCGATGAGGTTGATGGTGATGATGATGGTGAGGATGATGATGGTCATGGTTATGATGATCGTGGTTGTGGCGGATGTGGTGATGATGAAGGTAATGATGATGCTGATGATGCTGATTATTTTGATGATGAGGAGGATGATCATGATAATTGCGATTATGATGATGATGAGGAGGATGATGACCACCATGACGACGACAATGAAGAGGATTGCGATGTTGTTGTCGTTGTTGATGATGATGCTGGTGATGATGATGAGGAGGAGGAGCAGGGAGACGGCGATGACGATGACGATGATGAAGCAGAAGTAGAGGATGACTGGTGGTGGTGATAGTGAGGTTAATGATGATGACGATGATGAGGAGGATGGTTGGCGTGGTGATGATGGTGGCGATGACGACGACGATGATGATGGTGCTTATGATGACGCTGCTGATGATGCTGATTCGGATTATGATTAAGATTCTGACACTGATGGCGAGGGGTAGCAGTCACGACCATATGTCATACGCGTACCAATGAAGGTGATAGTGACGATGATTATGTTGTTGATGCTGCTGCCGCTGATGATGATGATGCTGATGCTGATGCTGATGCTGTTGATGATGATGATGAAGATGATGATGGTGATGGTGATGGTGATGGTGATGGTGATGGTGGTGGTGGTGATGATGATGATGATGATGATGGTGATGATGATTATGATGATGATGCTGATGATGGTGGTGGTGATGATGATGATGATGAGGAGGAGGAGGATCAGAAGGAGGGGTAATGATCATCTGACGACTTCAACGACGACGACGACGACATCGACGACGTCCGCACTCCTCGGTTCGCAGTCCTCTCTCCGCATCTCCCCCTCGGTCACGGGCAGCCCTCGCGCCTGTTCCCTTGGCTGCGAATGGGGAGCTTCCTCCATGGTCTACCCTGCTTCTTGACCCCCACCTCCTGGTGGCCTGCCGTCGGAGGAGGGGAGTAGGGGGGATTCCAGATGGGGTCGGTGGATCGCATCGCCGATGCATCGACGATGCGGCTCGATGTGGAGCCCGAGTTTCTGCACGCCGATGGCGCCGATGCACCGCCGATGCACTGGCGATGCCGCACGATCCTCCGACCCCATCTACTCGAACCCCATCTGGAAGGCCGCTAGTGGAACGCGTGACGCGTGCGCACTGCACTGCTTTGGTGGGGGCGATATTTGTGCTCAGACCCGCGTGATTTCGCCAAGTTGAACCTGCACTGTCTCCAACGGCGCGTTCTGTATACACGGATGCAGCTGGTGGAGGAAGGTTTGCAGTTGTGCCTGTGGCCCCAAGCCTCGCTCGCGGGGGGAAGGGGGAGGGGGATGGAGAGAGTTGGAGTCGGCTGTTGTTCTCGTTGAAGTTGTCTTGTGCCATCTTGGGGTATCTTAGCTCATCTTGGGTGCCATTTTTTGCTGCCTGAGGCTCTCTTGGAACCATCTTGGGCCATCCTTGGCGCTCCGAGGGGACCCCCCCCTCCCCCTTCAGAGCCACGGGCAGAGGAGGGAGGGGAGGGGTCTGAGGTGGCCCAGCATTGGTTCCTGCCAGCAGGAGGGGGGGAAGAGGCTTGAGGTTCCGAGTTCGGGAGACTGTTTTGCCTCCGGGGGCCGTGTTCGGTGCTCGGGCCCCAGGACCGTCAACGACCGATCCGGGGCGACAATAATCACAAGATTGACGCCTGGAGGGGTCCAGGGGCAGAATTTTAGCAGATTCGCCTTCATCCCTAGGTTTTTGGACAGCTTTTCCAGGGGCCCATCCAGCTCAGACCCCCTGGCCGTCTCCAAGGAGAGATACACTACAGAAACCAACGCCCGCGTCGACACGACACGAGCCCGCCGCAGAGTAGCAAGAGCGAGGCAGCGGGAGAGCGAGCGCGAGGCCATCGAGGCGGTGGCTGGCTGGCAGCGGGAAAGCACGCCGGGAGGAACGTTCGACTGGCTCGACGCTTATCTGGAGAAGAATCCGGGCCACATCGAGTTGAGCGATCGCATGATCCTCGACTGGGCCGCGCGCTCGCGCACAGCGCCGCCCGCGCTCTTGCAACCGACCGCTCGGCACTCTACGTTCAAGATAGCGCAGGAGGGAGGAAGGGAGGAGGAAGGAGGATGGAGGATGAACGCGTACGTATGTCAACCTTATTGACGCTTCGCGTATCCCCACCAGCTGTTATTTTGTTCCTCGCACGTGCATTCCGGCGTTGGCCTTTGGCTTCCGCTGGCAATTATCTTGCTTGCCGCCGCAAGCTTGCTCGACCCGCTCTCTGGAGTCGTCCTTGGAGCCGCCGATCAAAAAAGTATCCCCACCAGCGTCCCCGCTTCCGGGTCGCATGCGTCTTAATGGGGTGCATTTTGTCCCTGGCACGTGCACCCGCTGCTGCGGCCTATGCGCCGTCGCCGCTAATTATCTCGCCCTGTGCCCCAGCCGAGACCGTCCAGCTCTTTGGAGCCGTCCTTGGAGCCGCCAATAAAAAATATCCCCACCAGCCCATCCAGAAATGATGCCCAGGAGAGTTGAGGTGATCAGGGAAGTGGAGGAGCATGCAAGAGGACAAAGGGCGGGGACAGCCGTTCGATACCCCAAGAGGGGGAGGGGGGGAGGAGAAGTAGGAGGAGGAGGAGGAGGAGGAGGAGGAGGAGGAGGAGGAGGAGGAGGAGGAGGAGGAGGAGGAGGAGGAGGAGGGAGGAGGAGGAGGAGGAGGAGGAGGAGGAGGAGGAGGAGGGTGATGTGAGGAAGGAGGAAGAGACAGTGGACAAGGAGGAGGAGATGAAGGAGAAGGAGCATCTTGGTGAGCCCGGGGGCTTCTTCGAGCGTCTTGGGTGCCTCGGAGATACTCTTGAGGCCTCTTGGGGGCATCTTGGGAGCCTCTTGGAGGCCTCTTGGGCGCCTCTCGGGCCTGTCTGGGCGCCTCTTGGGGCACTCTTAGGGCGCTCTTGGGAGCTTTAGGGCCACTCTTGGCTCCACCTTGGAGGATATCGATGAAAAAGAAGGGTTCCCTAATTCCCGTCCCCCCTTGGGAGCCCCCAAAGTCGCCTCTTGGGGCGCTCTTGGGGGCGTCTTGGGGCTCTCTGAGGTCTCTCCTGGGGCTCTCTTAGGCCATCTTCGACCTTGGAGCCATCTTGAGGCCTCGGATGGCCACTGGAAGCGAAAAGGCGAGAAAGCAAACAAACATTGAGTTTCCTTGGTTTGGGACGGATTTGGGCCTCTTCGGGGCCTCCTTGGGGAGCTCTTTGGCCACTTGAATTCGTCTTGGAGCGGTCTTGGGGCCTCTTGGAGCATCTTGGGAGCCATCTGGAGGCATCCTTGGATATCTTGAGCCATCTTGGCGCTCATCTTGGGCTCTCCGAGGCGCTCTTGGAGCCATCTTGGGCCATCTTGGACGCCCCAACCCCTCGGGGGACCCCACGTCCAGGTCTAGGGGAGGGGGTAGGGGGAGGGGTCAAGGTGCCCACCCGCCCGCAAGCCGTCTCGCTCACTTCCACTCGCCCTCCCAACACAGGAGTAAGACCCGAGCCTGAGCATGTTCAGCGGCAGTTTTTGGACGGACAGCTACCCAGAGCCCCGAATCATCAGGGGTAACTCGGGTCAGGGATAACTCGGGTTCGGTTTTCGGGATTCCGAACCCGAGTTACCCCGGACCCGAGTTACCCCGGATAACTCGGGCGCCCAAGCTACTAGGGGCCACCCCAGGTGCGCGACGCTTGGGCCAGGTGCGCCACGCGTGCCGGGGGCGCCACTCTCGCCACTCACCCCCGGGGGCCCGAGCTTGCCGGGCACGCCTGGTGCGCCAGATGCGCCACGTGCCTCGAGTGCGCCAGGTGTGCCGCACACTCCAGCCGCGCCAGGTGCGCCACGTTCGGGGCACGTGCGGAGTGCGTCAGGTGCGCCTGCGCACGTGACAGCACACATCGGGGAACATGTCGGCCCCCACCATCCTGGTCGAAAGCCAATGGCCATCTTTGTGTTTGGTGGACCTGCGCGCAGCAGGCCACGAGCCACCACCCCGCCGTCCCTGTCAAAAACCATTTGACAGTGATCGCGGGGTGGCCGCGCATGATGCAGATTTCGCCGCGAGGTGCATTTTTGTGTTGTTTTTGTTGCAGGGATGGTAGCCCTGCGCACAGCAGGGAATATGCTGACACCCCCGCCGTCCCTGTCAAAAACAATACAAAGTGCTCGCGGGCCTCACGAACATGACTCAAGACTTTGCCCCAAAGAGTACTTTAATATTGCTTTTTGACAGGGATGGTGATGGGGGCCTCGCAACCTGGCGGACATGCCCACGTACGATGCTATTTGTGTCCACCAGAGGGGACAGCAGGCGGAGGCTTAGGAAGTGGACGGAGGAGGGATGTGGAAGAGGAGGCGGCAGAGGGGGAAACTTGAGACGGGCCGCCAAGAGACGAGATGGGCGGATGAATCAGTACAATTTGGCACGCTTGTTACGCCTTGTCGACAGACTGGAAGCTTGCACCGCTGATGGCACGAGCGCCTCGGTTCTGATGACTCGGCGGGGGTTTGGGGCCCGATTTTCCGATGTACTCACATCGTGGACATCATAAGCTTTGTGATGATTTAAAGAACGAGTAGGTTCGCGACGTACTGCACTCGATCGACATACTCGCACTGCTGCGAGCGTCCCAGACGAAACATGTGGGTTCGCTCCTGCGATGTGGGCAGCAGCGGAATGAAGTTTTGGCCGGGCACGGCCCTGCTCCGGGTCGGCCTGTTGCCGACATCCTTGGCGACGCGACGTGCGCCGGGCAGGCTCCAGTCGGCCATCGCCGGCAGCGCCGTGCGCGGCGGAAGCGAGCCGACACGCTCGCGGTGCGCTCCCCACCAGTCAACACTCGTCGGGCGAAAGACGTATATCCGTATCCACGGCCTGGCTGGCTAGGCCCCTGGGCTGCGACCCAGCGGATACTCCAGATTTCGTAATAAAAGGGAGGGGGTCTGGACCCTCCAAGACAAGCCATTTCAGACCTCCCCCGTGGGAGAACCCTCCAAAACATCGTCCCCAGACCCCCCAGGCCCTCCAAGATAGCCTGGAAGAGACCCCCCCGAAATGAGACCCCCCTCCCTTTATTACGAAATCTGGAGTAGGCCCCTGGGCTGCGACCCAGCGGATGCGGGGCGAGAACGTATCCGCACGACCGCGTACCCGCGGGATCGCGCCCCGGGCTCCAGACCGCGAGGGCGCGGATACGGATCGGCTCCCAGACATCCAGCTCTCAAATTCTTTCCATGCGTGGACCCCCAGAGGTCTGGACCAGTTCCCCAGGGACCGGCAGCTCCGAGTTTTGTTCGGAGCCCGGACTCCAGACCGCGAGGGTGCGGATACGGATGCAGTCGAGGCTGATGAGTAGGTTGACCCTGCCAGATCAAGAGCACCTCCGTGTCCTCTGTTTGGCGGCCCATGCCTTGTATACATTCCTATAGCACTGTGGCCCTCGGAGGGGTCTTGTGTCCTCTCGCGTGTTCTGTCCAATCAGCCCGACTGTAATGTCCGCCGTGAGAAACGGTTCAGGAGGGATAGAAGCACACAGACACAATTCATCGTCGACTCCCAGAAACGGTTGGGAAGATATGGGAAGTGGGGGGGCAGACGAAAGTCCAGAAGATATGGGAAAATAGAGGCATCCTGCTATTCGTGTCTATTTGTTTGTGTGTCCCAGGGCCCCGTTAACGGTATCAGCGCGGTGGGCGCCAGGAGCCGCGGCGGCACGCCCGGAGAGAGCGGCGAGGCGCGAGGTGCCCCCTCGAGGAGTGCGAGCTGGGGCGCGAGCGGGGTCGCCAGCGCTGGCCAGGGGAAGTGCGCCGGGGTGGTGGGCTTGTATTCCACCGCCACCATAGGGGGCCACGCGCGAACCTTACCCCCACCCCCCACGATTTCTGAGGGGGAGGGTGGGGGAGGCTCCCATGCGTTGCCTCAAAAAATTCGCGTCGTGCCGACTGGTGGCGAGCCCGCCGCCAGCGTGCAAGGCTGAACGCCGCCGGCGACCCAGAATCGATCGATATTGAACGATCCGAGGTTTCGGAAACGGTCGATCGCTCAAGGTGAACGATCCGCCTGCTGTCGGGAACCAGCGCCAGGGTCGACGAGACACGAACCTGCTTGAAGTACAAACTTTCGGAGCTCCGCGCAGATCTCTTGGATCGGCGCTGGCACCCCCTTGGCGGCGAGGCCCAGCGCCGGTCCAGGGCACGCTTGCGGAGCCGCGAGAGTTTATGCGCCTGCAGCTTTTGGCTCCCCCTGCGCCCGAGTTGAGTTTCCTGCGGCAGCCTTGGCCCAGCCTCGTTCAATCGACCCCTAACTACCCCCATCCCCATCTTAGGAGGAGGAGGAGGAGGAGGAGGAGGAGGAGGAGGAGGAGGAGGAGGAGGAGGAGGAAGAGGGGGATGGACCCCTCGAAACCCGAAGGAGAGATCCTATAAGAGATATCCCCTATCTGGGGGGGGCAAATCGGCCAGAGGGGCTCAGGCCGCGCCCGTGGTCGCCATGAGGGCAGGTTCTTGCCCTTTCTCGGGCTCTCGGGGCCTTCACGGGCCCCTGCTCCGTCAGAAAACGACTCAGGATGAAGACCTCGTCCTGGGGGAGTGCCCCAGGGCCCAGGACCTCAGTGGGCCCTGGAAACGAGAGGGCCGTTTTTTTACCGGTTCCGTTTTTTGCCGTTTTTCTGCCGGTTCCCACGCCGTTTTTTTTACCAGTTCCGTCGCCGTTTGTTGACCGGTTCCGGCCCCGGTTCCACTTCTGGAGCCGTTTTTGTTGCCGTTTCCGGTCGCCGTTTTTTTGCCGTTTCCATGTTCAAGGGGCACTTTTTCGAAAACGGTGAAAAAAACGGCCCTGCCGTTTCCGGGGCCCACTAAGTCCAGGACCCGTTTCCCTCAGGACCCGTTTCCCCAATGCTGGCCAGGTGATCGGGGTCGGATCAGCGATGCGATGCTCATTGGCAGCGCCATGTGCGCAGAACGCGAGCCAGCACGGTCAGGGTGGGCTTCCTTGCAGGAGCGCTCGGCAGCGCGCGGGGGGGCCGGGGAGCGAGCTGTCGCGCTCAGAGTGAGCTCCACTGTGCCAACTTCGGTAGCAACGCCGGCAGCGCGGTGCACTCCAGCAGGGCTCGTTTCGATTCCTCCGAGACGATTCGATTCGATTCCGATGGCTTCCGGTTCCGATTCGATTCGACTTTGGACTCCGACTTGGATGCGGGGTCCTCAGGGGAGGCTTGCTGGCCTGCCGATTTCTGCCGATTCGACACATCTCCCGAGCTCCAGGCCCAGGCTTCGGCCACGCGCCGAGAAGGGGCTCCAGGCACAGGCTCGCGCGCTCGGAGCGGGCCTCTGCGCGTGGAGTGGGCTGGAGTGGGCTTCCTGCCGACCGCGTCGGCAGCAACGCGCTTCGTGTGCCCGGAGCGAGCCGGCATGGTCGGGGCGAGCTCCTCGTCCTAGCGTTAAGTCGGGCGTGTCCCTGCACAGGAGGAATATTCGAGAGTAGAGAAAATAGTCAGGGAATATTGTTTGAGTATGTTTTTTTGGGGGGGGGGGGGCTCTTCTTTTATTTTTCGCTCAAAATCCGCCTGTTTTGGAGGACGCCCGACCTAATCCTAGCAGTGGTGGCAGCGGTGCTCGCAGCGCAAGGTGCTCCAGCGACGGCCGCGGGCCGTCGCGCTCGAGGTGAGCTCCCTTAATTCGGTGGGCGACGCCGGCAGCGCGAAAGTACACCGGGAGCGAGCCGGTGTTCACGAGGCCCAGAGCAATGTGCAGGCAGGGAATTCTTCAGGCAGGCAGTTTTCGGGGATCAAGCAAGTGGTAGTTTTCTTATTGTTTTGCCGATCGGCGCTGGCCCTCGCATCGAAGAAGAAATAACGGCATAAAAATACACGTTTGGCGCCCGGCGCGGGTTTCTTGGATCCGCGCTGTGCCCCACCTGGCGGCGCTTCCGGCGCCGCCCCTGGCGCCATCCGCGCGCCGGGGAGGGGGTCTGGGGCAGATCCCAGAAATCCGCGCGGAGCGCCAAAAGTTATATGTTTATGTCGTGCTGTTCTTCTTTTGTCGCACCCCCCACCCTCCCATGGAGTAGATCTTGGCGGCGTGTGGCGCCTGCTGCGAGCAGGCGGAGCCTCCCCCCCCCCAGAGGACGCGCTTTGGCAAGCGGTCGCGTCAGAAGTGGAGGTCCAGAGCCAGACCCCGCCCGCCCTCCCCTCCCGCCCAATGCCGAAGCGCCGAGTAAGACAACGTCCACCAAGGACATCAGCACAGCAATGCGGAGGGCCGCGCGGAGCTCTCGGCTCGGCGCCCCGACCCCCCCCTCCGTGTGGCGGCCCGTGGCGCGCCGTGGCGCGCCGGGGGCAGCGCCGAAGGCGCCGCCATGGGGGGCTCCAGGGCCGATCCGAGGGCTCCGCGCAGACCTCCGAGCGGTTAGGTCTGCGTCGTCGCCTGCTCTTCCGGGTGTGCGCCCGGGGTCCCGTGCCAGGAAGCACCCTGCTTGCCTCCAGGGTGCCCCCGGGTGTCTAGGGGTTCGAGGGTTCTGCCATGGAGAGAGCGTGGAGTCCCCACGCCGCAGATCGATGGACGTCCTGGGGTCTCAGGGTTGGGTTTCTCGTGGAAGGTCTCTTGTGGTCCAGCCCCTGCTGTAGTAGCCCTGGGTCGGGCAAGGAGCATCATAGTCAGCGCAGGCTTCGGAGGTCCGCGCGGAGGTTTCGGATCCCCGCCTCCGTCGCGCTCTCCGCTCTGCTCCGCCCCTTCCTCCGATCCCCCCCTCCTCTCTCCCCCCCTGCGCTCGCCTCCTTCCCCCCCGTCCCTCCCCGCCTTCCCCCCTCGCTCTCCGCTTCATCTCTCTCCTCCTCGCCCCCCGCCTCCCCATCCCCCCGTCCTCTCTCCCCCCTGCGCTCGCAATCTCCCCCCATCCCTCCCTCCCCCTCCCCCTTCGCTCTGCATCCCTCTTGTTCTCCCCCTCGCCTCCTGCCTCCCCCAGCCCCCCCCCCTCGCAGCCCTCCGAGGATGCAACGCCTGGGAGGTTAAGTTCAGCATCGGCGCTGGTGTATCCCCGGTCGGAAACGGGCCTGATCCCGCCCACTCCCGCTCAATCCTGCTGAATCCTGCATCTGGCTGAGTGGCCCCTCGGGGCTTGCTCGCCCCTACCCGCTCTCACGAGCACTCCCTACCTATACGACCACCCTTCGGGTGATAAGGAGGTTCGGCGGGGGGAGGAACCAACGTCTCACTCGATCGGTCTCACTATCGATCTCACTATCGATCTCACTGTCGGTCTCGCTTGATCGATCTCACTCGATCGATCTCACAATCGATCTCACTCGATCTATTTGATGCGATCGATCTCACCTTGATCTGACTATCGATCTCACAATCGATCTCACAATCGATCTCACTATCGATCTCACAATCGATCTCACATTCGGTCTCACTATCGATCTCACAATCGATCTCACAATCGATCTCACAATCAACGCCATCATCATCATCATCATCAGCATCATCATCATCATCGACATCATCGTCATCAACGCCATCATCATCCGCATTATCATCATCATCGGGACACCATCATCATCATCACCTCATCACCATCATCATCAACATCATCATCATCACCATCATCATCGGGACACCATCATCGTCACCCTTATCATCATCATCATCACCATCATCATCATCATCATCATCATCATCATCATCATCATCATCATCATCATCGTCATCATCATCATCATCATCATCATCATCATCATCGGGACACCATCCTCATCGTAACACCACCATCATCAATTTATCATCATCGTGAACAACATCATCAACAGCATCATCACATGGGCACCATCAAAATCAGAGCAGCAACATCATCAACATCATCATCATCATCATCATCGGGACACCATCATCGTCACCATCATCATCATCAACATCATCATCATCATCATCGGGACACCATCATCATCATCAACACCAGCATCATCAATTTCACTATCATCGGGCAACCACCATCAAACTCATTATCATCACCTTACCATCATCCTCATCATCAACATCGTAATCATCACCATCATCGGGACACCATCATCGTCATCATCATCAACATCATCCATCATCATCGGGACACCATCATCATCATCATCACCATCACCATCAACCTCATCATCATCATCATCATCGGGACACCATCTCATCATCATCATCGTCATCATCATCATCTCATCATCATCAACATCATCAGGATCATCAACCTCATCATCATCAGCGGGACACCATCATCAACAAAATCATCATCATCATTATCATCATCATCGGCAACGTCATCATCATCATCATCATCATCATCATCGGGACACCATCATCATCACCATCATCATCATCAGCATCATCAACATCGTCAACATCAGCATCATCATCGTCATCATCATCATCATCATCAGAGCATCAACATCATCAACATCATCATCATCATCGGGACACCATCATCACCACCATCACCATCATCATCATCACCACCATCACCATCACCATCATCATCATCATCATCATCATCATCATCATCATCAACATCATGGACATCATCAACATCCGCATCATCATCATGGGGGCACCATCATCATCATCACCTCGTCACCATCATCATCAACAACATCATCATCATCACCACCATCATCATCGGGACATCATCATCGTCACCCTCATCATCATCAACATCATCATCATCATCCGGACACCATCCTCATCGTAACCCACCATCTCATCATCATCATCATCTAACCATCATCATAACGACGAACATCATCAACATCATCATCACATGGACACCATCAACATCAGAGCATCAACATCATCAACATCATCATCATCATCGGGACACCATCATCGGCACCATCATCAGCATCATCATCATCATCGGGACACCATCATCATCATCAACACCAGCATCATCAATTTCACCATCATCGGGCCACCGTCATCAAAATCATTATCATCACCTTATCATCACCCTCATCGTCAACATCGTTATCATCACCATCATCGGGACACCATCATCGTCATCATCATCATCAACATCATCCATCATCATCGGGACACCATGATCATCATTACCATCACCATCAACCTCATCATCATCATCGGGACACCATCATCATCATCATCTTCATCATCATCATCATCATCTCATCATCATCATCAACATCATTAGGATCATCAACCTCATCATCATCAGCGGGACACCATCATCATCATCATCATCGGCAACATCATCATCATCAACATCATCATCATCATCGGGACATCATCATCACCACCATCATCATCATCATCATCAACATCGTCAACATCATCATCATTATCATCATCATCGTCGTCATCATCATCATCGGGACACCATCATCAACACCACCATCTTCGTCATCACCACCATCACCATCATCATCATCATCAACATCATGGACATCATCATCATCATCATCATCATCATCATCGTCATCATCATCATCATCATCATCATCATCATCATCATCATCATCATCATCATCATCATCGGGTCACCGACGGGACACCGACGGGACACCGGCGCGACACCGACGGGACACCGCGGACCACCGGCCCCTGGAAAGGAATCATTTGGTCCGGTTGCGCCTCAGCCGGAGGAGACTTTCTTCTCGCCCGCCCACGCAGCTTCGCCTCGCCCGCACGCACGGCACGCACGAACACGCAACCGAAACCGATTTCCCGGTGGGGGGGCTCTCCGTTCCACTTCGATCTCACCCCCTCACCTCCGATGGGAGCTGCTTCCCGGCCCCTCCTCCAGCATCGCTCTCTCCTCGCCAGCCTCGCTGCAGCGCAGCAGGCCGACAAGAGCGGGATCTGGAGGAACAGGGGCTACAGCTGGAAGGCCTCCAACGACAAGCCCGACCCGCAGTTCGGGGCGGGGCGCCCAGCTGCGCGCGGCCTCGGAGACGGATGGGGCGAGGGACGATCGGGCGCTTCGTGCAGTCAGAGCGCAGAGGAAGGAGGAGCAGTTTTGCTTTGGCAGTCTGAGGGCGTTCCTGTCCCGTCTGACGCCGTCGGAAGGCGTCTTGGGGACCTCTGGGCCGACTTGGGGCCCTGCTGGGGCGCTTCAGGGCCGTCTTGGAGGCCAGGTTGGGCGTCTTGGAGGTCTCCAGGGCCGTCTCGGGGCCCTCTTGGTGGGGCGTCAGAGGGGCACTGGAGGCATATTAGGCGCTCTTGGAGCCATTTTGGTGGCCTCTGGGGCCGCCTTGGCCAGTCGGAAAGCCGAATCTGAGCAAACGCCCAAATCCTGCAACATCCAGCGTAGACAATATGCTGTTTGGCTTCTCTGGATCTTCCTGGAGGTCATCTTGGAGGCCTCTTGGGCTGTCTTGTGCGATCTTGCGGCCATATTGGGGCGATCTTGGGTAGGACCGTCTTGGGCGCTATCGTGGGCCATCTTGCCAGTGTTAGAGGCGTCTTGGAGACCATATTGGGCCTTATTGGAGGCCCTTCACCGGCCGTCTTTGGCGGAAACACCTTTCCATGTGCTCGGCGGGCTCGGCAGAGACTCCATTGAGAGTTTCTTTATAGAAAGAACCAGGAACTCACCCAGGTATCCAGCACGCCAGGCACCCCTGTGATGAATCACCAGGCGGCGGCGGATCTATTTGCCTTCGGCCCATCCCGACACCGTGCTCAGGTTGTAGGTCAGAGGCCTCTTGGATGCCTGGGGGGATCTCTTGTGAGGCCTCTCGGAAGCCTCTTTGAGGTGGAGTTGGGTGTGTATTGGAGCCTCTCGTGGTATCTTGGTGGCCTCCTGGTGCTTCTGGGGGGGCCCTTGGAGGCCTGCTGGCGGTCTCGGGGGTCATCTTGGGGCGGAGAGCGCGAAAGATCAGTTCGAGCTTCCCCCCTTGGGGCTTGGGGCCCTCTTGGGTCCCTCCTTCGGCCGCTTCGGGGGCCTCTTGGGCCCCTCTCGGGCCTGTCTTGGGCCCCTCTTGGGCCCCTCTGGTGCCCCCCTTGGGCCGTATTGGTCCTGTGGTGGTCATCATCTTGGCAGAGCCCCCCGCCATCATCCTGCCCCCGTGCTGCCCCTCCCCTGCCACCGCTCCGCGTCGCCCAGAGGCCACGGGGGAGCGCCTCCCGTGTGTGTGTGTGTGTGTGTGTGTGTGAAGGGCTGCTCGTGGCTGGAGCTGCGCGCCCCAAGGACCCTCGATCCTGAAGTCGGGCGCGTCCCTCGAAGTACAGGAGGGATTTCCAAACATAGTCAAACAAAATGGTTCTGAAGACAAGTTTACCAGTCCTTTCTGGTTATGTTTGAAGATGTTCTGATTATTGTCATGGTTCGACCGAAATCTGCCTGCAGGCCCGACCCAACCCTATCCTGCGCTTCTGGGGGTCACGTCTGGTTCCCAAGATCGCCGCCCTGGTCTTGCTGCCGTCTCGTGTCACTGCTCCTGCTGGCACGGTCGCGATGCGTTGCCTGTTCACGCCTCCAGTTCTGCGCGGCGCTCAGGCCACATACTTTTGGATCCTCTTCGCCTGGGGGCCCAGCCCGCTTGGGCCACAGGTCTTCGGGCACAGCTTCCGTACATGTTTTCGAGCCGAATGTGGCCAACAGTTCTCGTCGGCGACAAGGAGGAGGAGGTGGAGGAGGAGAGGAGCAGAAGGCGTAGGAGGAGGAGGAGGAGGAGGAGGAGGAGGAGGAGGATGTTTTCCCATCTCGGGCGGCGCAGAACGAGTAAACGCACGAACCGTCCCCGGGCAGAAACGGGCCGACTGGCGCCCTGCGCAGAGCGAATGTAGCTGCTCACCCGATCAACGCTGGAGCTCTTCCATGGTGAAGCAGCAGGCGGCTTCCGTAATTTGCGAAGGCGAGGGCTTCCAGCTTGCGCGACAAGGAGGGATACCCATCGGTCGGAAGAAGCAGGTAGAAGCATGACATAGGAAGGCGTTGAAAGTAGATTGGGTGTCCGCCCGCCCCCTAAGGAGTACGGACAAGGTGAAGCCACTCGGTCATTGAAGTAGGAAGGCGCCTAAAGTACATTGGAATCTGGGAGTCCAAAAATGCCTATCTTCAACGACCGATGGGTAGTGACTCCCAGCTTGCCGCCCACTGCGACCGCGTGCTCCCGCAGCCTTGGCCAGCAGCCCCCTCTAGCGCATGCCCAGTTCCTCCCCCTGGGGCCTCCCGGCGAGTGCCCAGATCGGGCTGGACCTGCACCCGGGGGACGGAGACGCGGAAAGCGTTGGGGCAAGAGCTCGTTGAGCGTGTTATCTGATCGCCCAGCATCCGTTTTCCTCGTCCTCGTCCTTCTGCCTTCTCGTTCCCGCTCCTCCTTCCCCCCCCCTTCTCCTCCCTCCTTCGTTGTGAATGTAGCTTTTTCGATCGGCTCCTCTGGCGAAGCGCTATCAGAGAAGATTCGAGCCATCGAGGAGCTGATTCATGAGCAAGTCCCTCGCCCTACAGTGTTCAAATGGCAAGCGACGATTGTGGATAAGCCTTGTCTGGGCCACCCCTGAAATCTAAGGAGCTTTGGCGCGAAATCCTCAAAGGAAGAGATCCGACACGTCCTGAGATCACGGTGGAGAGACTTTGATCTCACGGGGAAGACAAGCTGCAGGGCCCCGGGAGAAGCGGCACGTGCTGTTTCGTACGGGAACATTTCGCCTGCTCTTGAGTCTTCCCACCTCCGTGCATTCTCTCTCCTCATTCTTCCCCCTCGCCAGTCATTTTTGCATCCTCGGCCCGCCTCCTCCTCCTCCTCCTCCTCCTCCTCCCCCTCCTCCTCCTCCTCCTCCTCCTCCCTCCTCCTCCTCCTCCTCCTCCTCCTCCTCCTCCTCCTCCCCCCTTCCCCCTCCCTTTTCCCCCACCCCCTCTCTTTTTCTTTTCCGAGGTGCCTAGCTTGGACGACGGCAGCATCAAGAAGATGCTCTACTCCATGGCGACTGCCCAGCAGCGCAATTTCATAGTCATGGAGGTGCAGGGCAACCTGACGAAGGAGGACGTCAGTCTAACAGCCTCGCGCTCTGCTGGTGGCTGCTGCGCTCGGTTTTCGTCTCTGCGCGCGTGCGCACTCCTCGAGGTAGAGGGCAACGGCGGGGGTGTTGTGTGGGGGGGGAGGCCGCGGCGGCGGCCCCTGGGACCGCGGTGTTGGCGCAGTCGGTCGGGCGGGCTGCGGGCGAGCGCCGCTCTCGCCAGGGAGAGGCCGGAGCAGATGGGAGAGGGCTCTGACTCTGGTCTCGGGCTCAGGGGCCTTCGTCGTCGCCGTACGTCGTCGTCGTACGTCGTACGTCGTACGTCGTACGTCGTCGTCTTCGTCGTCGTCGTCGCCGTCGCCGCCGTCGTCGTCGTCGTCGTCGTCGTCGTCGTCGTCGTCGTCGTCGTCGTCGTCGTCGTCGTCGTCTACGTCGTACGTCGTACGTCGTACGTCGTCGTCGTCGTACGTCGCCGTCGTCGCCGTACGTCGCCGTCGTCGTCTTCGGCGCCGTCGTCGTCGGGCTCGGGGCTCGGGGCTCGGGGGGGTCGAGGCTCGGGCCCGGGCGCGGGCCAGGGGTCGGCACACGGCGGCGGCGCGCACGCGGGGACCGAGGGGGGCGGGGGCCTGCCGAGGCGCAGCGGCGGGGTGGCTCTGCAAGCGGCGGGGGCCTCCCGAGAGCACGCCAGGGGGCTGCCAGGAAGGCTTCCCTCCGAGGCCGGGAGGGCCTCGGAGGAGCCCCCCGTGCCGCTCGGGAGGCGGCGCTGCTCGGGCCACGGCCCCGTGCGCGGCGCCCGGGGTGCGGCCCTCCGCACCGAGCGGGCCCCCGTCAGCGACCGAAGGGGCGGCCGGGGGGCTGGAGCGGGAAGCGCACCGCCCCAGAGATCAAACGCACTGAAGAGTTCCAGGCGGCGGTCGTTCGTATTTTTCTGCCTCGAGGGGCCCTCGTCGGGCCCCGGGGCCGTGACAAGAACGACTCCGGGCGAGAAGCCGGTCCCAGGGAGTGAGTGGAGACTTCGGGGGGCCCCGTATGGAAAAGACACGACCTCGGATCTCTGGGGCCACCACCACCACCACCACCAACACCACCACCACCACCACCACCACGACCACCACCACGACCACCACCACCACCACCGCGACCACCACCACCACCACCACCACCACCACCACCACCACCACCACCACCACCACCACCACCACCGGGGGGGATTCAGGATGAGCCGGTGTGCGGGATGCGGGTGTGCAAGGTGTCCTGCGGGAGCGCCCGAAACGATATACATCACCACCGCTACCGCTGACCACCCTCTGCCTTCATCCTCCAGGTGGTGGTGGTGGTGGTGGTGGCGCGTTTCCTTCTCCCTGTGGGGGAGTGGAGCACATGCTGCCTGGTCGGCTGAGCCGTGATCCAAGGTTCCGGCCGATTTTTGCGCGAGGTTGCCCAGGAGTTGGTTGCGTTGTTTTCGTCGTCCTCCATGTCCAGCCTCGTGCATGCGCGTCAGCGAGCTGGAGTCAAAAAGGAGACAATTGCATTAACATATCGGTTTCGGAGCTACGCGCAGTCTTTCGAAAGTTTCTGTGCGCGTCCGTGACTTTTCTTTCTGGGGAAAGCCTCGCTCCTCATCGACAGGATATTTCTGCATTGCATGCGCGATGAGTTCAGATTGATTGAGTGGCTAGTGTGTTTCGCTACACTTGGCGATGATCTGGTGTAAGTTGCTGCTGCTTCCCTCCGCGATCGTTGTCAGCAATCAGCACCAGTCGTCCCCGTTGACGGTCGTCCTTGCGCGCAGTCGTCTTCGCCGTGGGTCGGTAGTCTTCGCCAGCGGGCGATATCGCGGGCAGGCGGCCCCTGACCGACTGGTCGGGCTGGCGGACTCTGACGGCCAGTCGGGCAGACCAGACCCTGATCGGGCGGGTCGTGCGGAGGAGGAGGAGGAGGAGGAGGAGGAGGAGGAGGAGAAGGCGGAGGAGGAGGAGGAGAAGGCGGACGAGGAGGAGGAGGAGGAGGAGGAGGAGGAGGGGAGGAAGAGGGGGAGGAGGGGGAAGGGGAGGAGGAGGAGGAGGAGAAGGAGGCGGAGGAGGCGGAGGCGGAGGAGGCGGATCGGACAGCCCCGGCGGGCGCACTCTGACCGGCGGCCGCCCGGCAGGCGGGGCACGGGAGGGGGTGGGTTGGTTGAGCAGATTGGCGGGCTTTCTCCTTATAGATTCGGGGGTGGACAGAACCCCCAACAGTGACACGTCGATTAGTGAATTGTCCGTTTTCGGTTCTCGAGAGTGCGCCGTGGCCGCTATTTTCCAGGTTCGCACCCGCCAGGTTTGGGCCTCAGGTCGTTTTCACTAAACCACGTTTTGCTAAAGGGGGGTCTGTCCATCCCCGATAGATAGCTTCTCCCTGTCGCATCCCGAGGCCAGTTTTCAGTATGGGCCAGGCGTTTCGCCCGAGACTTCCTCCGCATCTAGGATCCTGAAGCATCAAATGGACAGCAGCTTCACAGATGGAGGGCGGGTCGATGTCAAAGTGTGGCTCTCGCCCTGGTGCGGTGCACATTCGATTTGAACATTTGCAAGAGTTTTGCGGATTGAGGGCGTGTCGTTTTCAAAATGTGGTTCTGGCTTTCGCGCCGCGTACATTCGTTTTTTTTTTTTTTTTTTTTTTTTTTTTTTTTTTTCCAAAAAAAAAAAACATATTGTAAGAGCTTCACGGATTGAGGGCGGGTCGTTATCAAAATGTGTTCTCGCCTTAGCGCCGCGCACATTCTTTTCAATAAAATGTCAAGTGCTTCGCGGATTGAGGACGGGTCCTTTTCAACATGTAGTTCTCGCTTTAGCGTCGCGCACATTCGGTTTAGAAGTTTGCAAGGGTTCCACGGGTTGCCATGATCAGCGTACCAGAAATGGTGTCTTGGAGGGATTCAGGATTATGCGGGTGCAACATTTATGTTGTTTGTTGTTTCACGGTATTGAAGTCCCCAAAAGTGCGTTCTGGCACGAATCCAGATCGTCAAGACGCAGCAGTCAGGGTGATACGTGGCGTTGACATCCCGAGAATAATGTTTTGGCATGCTGCAGGATCATCAAACGGTTGTCTTCAGTTCCCTCAATGGTAATGAACCGTTGTAGGGGCCTATGAAGAGGGAGCTTGAAGGAATGGTAAATTCCAACATCGTTGATGACTCTTGGGTTTGCACTCGTCCTCCTCCTCCTCCTCCTCCTCCTCCTCCTACTCCTCCTCCTCCTCCTCCTCCTCCTCCTCCTCCTCCTCCTCCTCCTCCTCCTCCTCCCCCTCCCCTTCCCCCTAGCCGTTCTGGCCCAGAGATTTCTGGGCTTGCGAGAGCAGTCTTCAGAGCGGCAGTCGCTCTCGCGGGTCATTGTGGCTCGTTTCCTTTCATTTCGAGGGATCTCAACCCTCACGCTTTCAGTGAGCTCCTGTGGGAGCACCTTTGCGTCTCGGGCGGAGGCAGCCCTCCCATGGGACGCGATGACGACGACGTGCTCGCGGGTCCGCGTTTCCCCACCTGGGGATGCCCTGACTGCGGGCGCAACCAGAACTGGGCGTCCCGCATCCGATGCGCCTGCGGCAAGCCAGCGCCCCAGGCGATCGTGCAGCGCGCCAAGTCGGCGGCGGCCAAGGCCAGAGCGCAGGGGCCCGTGCCTGCCCCTCGTGATGGTGGCGCTCGTCCTCGCGGCGCTTGGGCTGGTGGACCTTCTTCGTCCCCGTCGAAGTTGGAGAAGCAGCTGGAGGCCCTCACCAAGCAGGTGGCCGCCCTCACAGCCAATGGAGGGGGAGGCCAACGCGGTGCAGGAGGCGATGCGGGTGGCCGCAAGCCCCCCGCGGCTGATGGCGCTGGCGGCGACGACGCCGCTGACGGCGATGCCGAGCTCACCGCCCTCCGTGCCAAGGCCGACGCCTTGGAGGAGGCCCTCGGCGCTATCAAGAAGTGCTCGGCCCTCGGCGACTCCGCGGTGCAGTCGCAGATGCAGTCTGAGCTGCTGGCCTTGCGCAAGTCGATCACGGAGCGCAAGCCTGCCGTCACCAGGCACAACACCCTCGGCCACAAGTTGGCGCGCTCCCAGCAGAAGTTGTCCAAGCTGCAGGAGGAGAAGGCCGAGCAGGAGAAGGCTGTCAAGGAGGCCCAGGAGCTCTTTCAACAGCAGCGCGAGAAGATCAGGGCCACGCAGGTCGAGATCTCGGCGTACCAGGTGGAGCTGCGCAGCATGGTGCAGGAGGTGGCGCCGTCGCAGGACCCGCCCACGGAGCCCAAGTTCGAGCTCCACCCCGACGTCCTCGCTTCCGCCCCCGCCGAGGTGCAGCAGATGGTCGCCTCGCCGTGTTTCGTCAAGTTCCAGGAGCTGCTGCTGGCGCAGCACAAGGCCAAGCAGGAGGCCTCGGGGCCTGCACCAGCTGCTCCCACTGCCCCACCTCCCCCCGCCACTGAGGGAGGAGGGGTTTCTCACCAAAGCATACCTGTCCCTGAAGATATGGACTTGGAGGATTTGGAAGGGGAAAAGATTCAACTACTTCTTTCGGCTGCACGGAAAGAGGGGGAGGATCACGCTGAAGTTTTCGCCAATCTTCTTCGAGAGATGGGGGTCAAAGCTAAGAAGCAAAAGTGTGGGTGACACTATGATGGGCTTAGCAGTACCTTTGCTCTCAGGGGTTCCACTATCCACCGCAGGTGTTCCAGTTCCCCCGCTGAAGGGGGCGCCCGATAGGTCACCGACAGATAGTGACGTTCGCAAGTATTTTTTGGAGTCGTTCAACGGCTCCTGCTGGCGCACGCTGCGCCGACGTTTGGCCGAGACGGATGCCATCGTGCTGTGTGCCCAAGAGGTTGGCATCAGCGAGGAGTTCGTTGGTCAGGCCACCACCGCAGCCCGCTCGTTGGGCTGGCACTCTCTCATTCTTCCTGCTCGTACCAATGCTGAGTCTGGGAAGTTATCTTCGGGAGTAGCAGTCTTCGCACGACTTGCAGTGGGACTTCGATGGCCTGCTGAAGGCAACGGGTGCATATGTGCCCACAGAG